AAAAAATTTTTTTAAGTTTTTGCTAAATTTGGGTCGGCGGGTAATGTTAAACGAAAAATTTTTTTTGCATGGCCTTATCAGTATTACTGATAATTTTATTTTATTTATTTATTTGTAATTACAATAGCTCAGTCAGAATAATTAATTCAGTTTGTGATATTTGTACTGAAACTATGTAAATATTTGAAGATTGATTTCATTCGTGCTAAACCATACATGTATATGTATTTAGAACATTCAGTATTTAATTTTGTAATATTTTTGGTTTATTACAAAGCGATGAGCTACAAACTATAGCGAAATTACACAGTTATTGTTTAACATATATTGTAAATTTAAAATTTGTGACGGAAAATTTTGAATTTACTACCTTTTCTTACTATCGATTGTCTCTTATATGATTATATAATTAAATTAGTGCATTGTATAACATGTTAGTACTGTACATATGTGTTAGACAAAGTGACCTGATTCTATCTGCTGTGTAATTTCCAGAGCAGAGCGGAGGAACTTAAGTCCGGACAATAGGTAAGAAAAATTTTGTATAGGTTGACTTCAGTTCAAAATGCAATAAGCAAAATTTAACCAGCATGTCATCAATAATCAACAAGTAATCAATTTAGCAATATACTTAGACATCATATTTAACTTTTATGAATATATAATCAACAAGTAATCAATTTAGCAATATACTTAGACATAATATTTAACTTTTATGAATATGACATATTATTTAGAGTTTCAATCCGTCATCCGTTTATCCGTATCCAATTATCCGGATAATCCAAATCGCCCAGATATCCAGATAATCCGAAGGGTAATCAGATAATTATCCAGATATTAATAGTAAAACAGATATCCGAATAAATTCAGCTTCAGATATCTGATAGATAAATGGATAAATGGATAATGGATTGAAACACTAATATTATTCTTTCAAATTGATGTATACAATTCATACATAATTTTTATTTTCTACAGTTAAAAAAAAATAAAACCAAAAATTCAACGGCATTCAATATTATGTAGTTAGTTGCTTATAGTAATAATAATAATAATAATAAAATTAGCAGGCATTACAACTAGCGACAGCATAAGTCAACTTTTTCATATATCAAAATATCATACAGAGACATTAATATATGACATATATTTATTATAATAAAGCTGCTTAATGAATCAGTTAAGCAAGTTGATTAATATTCTTATTTTTAAATTATGAAAGTAAATAATAATGAATGTAATTGTTCTAAGTAAAAATAAGCATAGTGATAATGTTAGTGATCTGTTTTGCATAAAATGAAAAATAAAAAAAATACATTTTAATGTAACCAACTTTCTCAATAAATTACTCCAATAGAACACAATAATTGATAATAATCCAAGTACAAATAGTTGTTAATTTTCGCTTTAAAATTAGTGTTTCTTATTAACTTTGCTCTTAAAATGAATGTTGAAACTGTTGATATAAATGATCAAAATGAACACAATTGAAATCCAAAACAAATGAGAGAAGATACAGAAACTGTTAAGGAGCGAGAAATATATCTCGAATATAGATGCAACTAATAAAAAAAAGAAAAGATGTAAAAATAGCTGAAGAGCGAGAAATACATCTTGTACATAGATGTAGCCAATAGAAAAAAAGAGATGCAGAAACTATCAAAGAGCAAAAAATGCATATTGAATGTAAATACAATAAAAGGCAAAAGAAAATAGATACAGAAACTGTTAAGAAATAAGAAGAACATCTCACACATAATTATAACTGAAAATACAAAGAAAAGAATATTTAAATAATTGAGGAACAAGAAACTCATATTGAGAATAACCGTGAATCAGAATTTTCAGAATCTGATAAAAAACTTTTAAACACTTTTCATAAAATAATGGCGAAAACTAGAAATAAGTATTGCCCAACTTGTGAAAAATATTTTCTCTCTATAATTCTCTATCAAGGTGAATGTTAACGATACTATAAAGAAAAGGCTCCCAAAAAATTTTCAATTGAAAATAGTATGAATCCAGGTTAAATTATATAAATTCTACTAAAAAGAATAAAAAAATAAAAAAAATAAAAATAAAACAAGCTTATATATAAACTTAATTTAGGTTATATACCTTAAGAGCTCCAAAATCTTACTAATATTGAAAAGATATTAATTGCACAAGTTTTTTCTATAGTATCAAATTATAATCTTTGTGAAAAACAGTATGCATATCAGGAAAATATTATCAATTTTTTCCAAGATATACAAAGCTTTATAACTCACCTTCCACATCATCTTTCATTGTTAAATATGCTTATTATATAGTAGTCATCTTTTAATAGATCAAAATTTCAAGCTTTTCAAATTTGATAAGATAAAGTATATCATGCTCTCTGTTAGTTGAAGATTAATAATCACAATATTGATATTGACAAGAATATACTTCAATTGTTATCTAAAAATGGCTTAATAGATGATTCACCAGTTATCTGGAGAGCTATATAATATAGATTACACAAGATTTATATATAAATTATATATAAAATCTTCAAATAGTAAATATAGAGATTTTTTAAAGAAATGTA